GTGGCTGCTCTTCCAGAACTCACAACCAACCACATGGTGGCTCACAACCATCTGTAATTCAATCTGGTGTCCTCTTCTGCCTGCAGGCTCAACACTATATAAGTAAATAAATCTTGAAAACAAACAAACAAATCTTTAAAAAATAAAAGAAGGATGAAATTGTGTCATTTGCAGAGAGATGGAGGGACTGGAGATTGGTATGCTGTGCTAAATAGCAGATTCAGAAAGAAATATGCTGCATGTTCCCTCATATGCAGAAGACAGATGGGGAGCAGGAAAGTGTAGTTGAACTATCTGGAAGAGGTAGGAGACCCAGCGGGAGGAAGGTGAAAAGACAAGAGTGTAACAGTAAGGAAGTGCAACTTTTCTAGTCATTGTGACCAAACACCTAACTAGGAGCAACTGGTGAGAGCTTTTTCTTTTTTCTTTTTTTTCCTGAGACAGAGTTTCTCTGTAGCTTTGGAGCCTGTTTTGGAACTTGCTCTGTAGACCAGGCTGGCCTCAAACTCACAGAGATCCACCTGCCTCTGCCTCCCGAGTGCTGGGATTAAAGGTGTGCGCCACCACAACCCAGTTTGTGAGAGCATTTTGACTGACATCTTAAGAAAGTACATCCCCTTGTCAGGCAGAAGGCATAGCAATAGGAAGGAACATGAGGCTATTTGCCTTCCCATTCCAGGAGGGGGGATGAGAACATAGATAGGGCATAGCAAGACCCAACAGGGGCTGTTTCTGTGTAGAGCTGTGATGAATATACTCAGTCACAAGTGCACAGTGATGGTGGTCAGCATAGTGGGCTCTGAACAGGAAATAATCTAGTCAGAGCAGTCAGTGTCCCTGACACATACATAGATAAGGGAAATATGGTTTATCTGTGCAATGCAATGTTATTTAGCCATGAAGAGTTGTAACTATATAAATGAACCTGGGGATAATGATAGTCAGCTAAGTAACTAAGGCACAAAAAGATAAGTGCTGCCTGTTTTCCTTTGTGGTAATCTGAAGTGGGGATTGTACATGTTTGTAGCTCCTGCCTGACTCTGTAGGTCCCCAAGCCCGCCTTGTTATTCCTCCAGTTCTGTAATACTCAAGCAGAGTGGGCATACTCAGGAGTGAGCAGAGCCCTGGTGTTGGGTCCCTGACCTGTACTGAGAGAGCCATTGTGGTAGTAAAGAGTAAAAAGAAACCCCCAGAACTCCGCCTTTCAGAGACTATAGTAGCCAGCAGCTTAACTGTGAAGGGTTCAAAGAGGGAGGGCAGAGCGAGGACCACCACAACCAGCTGGAGATTGACTCCCTCGACCCTTCCTTGGGTTATACTGATCAAGCAGCTCATAGAACTTGTGTTGATTGGTTTACCATGAGAATTACCAAGGATACAGATGAAGACATTAAGAGGTCAGGTATATGGAAGGGGCGGAGCTTCCATGTCCTCTCTGGGCACCACCCCTAGGATCCTCCACACCTTCAGCTCCTGGGAAGCTCTGAACGAGTTTCTAGGGGTTTTATAGACATTTCAATACACTGGCCATCAGTGACCCCCTCAACCTTCAGCCCTTTTTCCTTCTCAGGGAGCTGAGATGAGGCTGAGGGTCCCCACCCTCTGATCCAGCCCGGGTCTTTGAGTGACCAGCCCAACCTGGGTGATATCCAGGAGCTACTGGCCAGCAGAGGGTTGGTTCATCAGCACATGGAATACACTTCACTTCCAGATTCCCAGGAAACAGGATGAGGACCTTGAGAAATGCCTGTAAAGTACATAGCATTCAGGAATCTGCTTACTTTTTATTTTAATTCTGAAAGAAAAACAAAGTCGTGTTGTTAAAGTTTTTTTTTGTAAGTACCCTTTATCAGATTGAGAAAGTTTTCTTCCCAAGATAGAATTCTTCAGGCTCAATGCTGTTATGATGAACGTGCGGCTTTCCTGTTTCACTGTCAGTGAGATGAGTGACACTGGTTAATTTTTAGGTGTTAAGCTGTCCTCATCTTCCTGGGATAAATACCTCTTACGTATGGGTTAGTAATTTTCTATGTCATCAGGTGTGCTTGTTGATTTTTATAAGGCATTTTACTGTGTTGGGATTTGTGTGTCTGGTTGAGTGGGGTCGGTGAGTCAGGCAGCCTATGAGATGGAGGGCAGTGGTGCCCTTACACTGTTCTTTGAACAGGGCTGTGGACAGACAGTTGTTGATCTTTATCTTTGGCAGAATTCACCACTGAAGCCACTCAGGTCACAGTGTTCTCTCTGCTGTCATCATTACAGATTTAGTTTCTAAAGCTATTCATATTTTTTCCTTGCTTGGGTTTCAAAGGTTGGGCCCTCTAGCGTTGTACATTTCAAGTAAGTTGTTAGACTTATTGGCACTGAGAATAATGTCTGTAATACTTTCAACCATTTCCAGCCCTGTGTCAGAAATTTATAGTTTCCTTGGTCATTTCTTGTTAGTAATTTGTATTTTGTATTTAAGTCTCATCAAGGAACTGACCTCTCTCTCTCTGCCTCCCTGTCTCTCTGTCTCTCTCTCTCTCTGTCTCTCTCTGTCTGTCTCTGTCTCTCTCTCTCTCTCTCTCTCTCTCTATCTCTATCTCTATCTCTATCTCTATCTCTATCTCTCTCAAGACATGCTCTCACTGTGTAGCACTGGGTAGTAGCCTGGAACTTACTTTGTAGGCCGGGCTGACTTCTAAATCACAGAGATTCAATTGCCTCTGCCTTCAGACTGCTGGGATTAAAGTCGAAGACCACTCATTTGTGTTTGTCTTCTGTGTGTGAACAGGCACATATGTGCCATAGCATCTGCATGGAAAGGTGGAGTCAGTTTTCTCCTCCAATCATGTGGGTTTGGAGGCTCAAACTCAAATCTTCAGGCTTGGTGGCAAGTTCTTCTACCCACTGAGCCATCTCCCCAGACCAGTTCCCCCTCCCCCCCTTTTTTTTTCCTGATTCTAATTTAATTGATCTCTATACTTGGGCTTTTCTACTTTGTTTCTATATATTTTAGTCTTCATTTTAAACCAATTTGAAATAGAAGCTTAGATAACTAATTTTAGACCTTTTGTGTTTGTTTGTTTGTTTATTTTTAAGGCAATGCTTCACTTTGTAGCCCTGGCTGTCCTGTAACTCACTCAGTAAATCAGGCTGGCTTCTAACTCAGAGATCTGTCTGCTTCTGCCTCATGAGTGCTGGAATTAAAGGTGTGTGTTACCACTGTCCAATTGTAAACCTTTCTAATATACACATACACACCTTGGAAACTCACTTTTCTCAGATGGGACCATGTTTGCTTCTCATGTGTATTGTGTTCTCATTGTTAATCACTTTAAATGTTTTCTTCTTTTTTTAAGATTTGTTTTTATATGTAGTGTCTTACCTTGTGCTCTTGAGGTCAAAAGAAGGTGTTAAATCCCCTGGAATTGGAGTTACAGATGGTTGTAAACCACCATGTGGGTTCTGAGAAAGGAGCCCAGGTCATCTGCAAGAGTAGCAAGTGCTCTTAGCCACTGGGCCATTGCTCCAGCCCCTTTAAATGTTTTCTTATTTCCCTTTTGCATTTTTGGTGTGTATACTTCAGTGTACATTAATCTGCAAATATTTTCAGATTTGTATTTGTCATTTGGACATAGTGTCTTTGCAACTAGCTGCATTCCCTGGCTGCGCCCAGTTGAAAGCAGTGTGCATTCAGCAGATGCTGGGTAATTCAGTCAGGCTGAGCTGCCATTATACTCTTCAAAATTCCAAATTCTTGTTAATTTTTTTTTGTCATTTTGTCCCATCAGCCATCGAAAGAAATGTAACTGTTGAAGTCTACAACTGTGATTGTTTGTTTGGTCAGGTTTTTTTTTTTACTCAATTAATTTGAAGCGGCATTATTTGGTACATAGATGTTTAGTGATAAAATCTTCCTGTTGGATGGACTCTCTGTCCTACAGTGCCTCTGGTAGCATCAGTTTGCTGTTAGTATCCTGTGTATTATGTGTACATTTCAACTCTTTGTTTTCTGTGACTCTTTTCTTTCATGTTTTACAGGGTTCTGTGCCTCTTGTTTCTTTCAAGCTGATCATGTCTTTTAACTTGGTCCATTTGCTTTTAGTCTGAATGCTTACCTGGCTCAGTTTAACTCATTTAGTTTTGCCTTATGTTTGCTGTTTGTTCTTTTTGATAGTTGCTTTTTCTTTTTTTAAATTTATATTTATTTATATTTTATGTGTGAGTGCTCTGCATGTATCTCTGCATGCCAGAAGAGGCCATCAGATCCTATTACAAATGGTTGTGAGCCACCATATCCTTTGGAAGAGTAGCCAGTCCTTTTAACCACTGAGCCATCTCTCCAGCCCCAGATAGTTGCTTTTTCTTTCATGCCTCCATTTGACGCATTGGATATATTTCTTGTTGCATTTGTGCTGTGCAGTATAGTAGACACTAGCTGTACTAAAATTGAATTATATCAGGCTAGGAAGTAGCTTAGACATAGAGCTCTTGCCTACTATGCACGAGGCCCTGAGTTTGATTCCCTAGCTCTACAAACAATTAATTAATTGAATTACAAATTGATTTTCTTAGTTGCCATAGCTCTATATGAAGTGTTTGGTAGCTGCATGTGCCTCTGATTGTTTTGGACAGTGTTGACAGAGCATTTCCATGCTTCAGGATGCTTTAGCAAACAGCTCTGTAGAGCTTGGTGGGTTGATGGATTCATGGATGGATTCTGAGTCAGAACTCTCCAGGTCAAGGCATGGTGTGGAAAGAACAACATGAGTCATGGGCACATGTTGCTGGATCCCCTCGAGACAGGTGTGCTTACCACCCCAAGCCTCAGGTCCCCACCCTTAGTTCTTTCTGCTTCATGAGTGCTTGTTGGGGAACATTAACTATAAAAATGGTAACATGCTCTACAAAAATTAAAGCAGTCTTCTGGAGAAAAACAAAACAAAGGCCTTACACCTCAAAATTGACCATCTCTGGTTTCCATGTTTTCTTTGCTCTTTTAGGTTGCTGACAGAATTGGAGTCTCCTTCCTGGTGGCCCTTTAGCTCTAAGCTTTGGAAGACGGCAGCAGAAGCCAAGACCAAGGAAGCTGTCTCTATAGCCGCTTGTGAGCCCTTTGGAAAGGAAGGGGTGGTGATCAGAGTCCCTGCTATTGTTTCTCAGAGAACAGAGTCTCATTCCAAGCCAGGAAAGCTCACTGTCCTGGTTTCTGGTTTGGAAATCCATGACTCCAGTTCATCACTCCTGCATAGGTTTGAGAGGGAAGATGTGGATGATATCAAGGTTCACTCTCCTTATGAGGTCAGCATACGGCAGCGGTTCATCGGCAAGCCAGACGTGGCTTATCGGGTGATATCTGCCAAGATGCCAGAGGTCATTCCCATTTTAGAAGTGCAGTTCAGCAAGAAGATTGAGCTCCTGGAAGATGCCTTAGTGTTCAGGAGCAGGGCCCGGACTTCCCCTGCAGAGGGTAGCTGCTCCATTCGGCATGCAGGTGAGTGGCCAGCAGGGCAGGGTTCATACCAGCTTCCAAAATTAGAGCCTCCCTCACTCAGCATGCTGTGGTGTGTGTTCAATGTACACATCAGTCAGCAGCTGCTGGCCCTAGCTTGCAGGCAGTGAGGAGTTTGTACAACCCTTTCAGACTGCCAACTTACACCTGTCCTTGACAGATAATTGGGTTTCAGAATAGGACAGTGCCAAAGCTTGTTTTTTTTTTTTTTTTTGTTTGTTTGTTTGTTTGTTTTTTGGGGAGGGAGCATTGTTTTGGTTTGGTTTGGTTTTGATTTTTCCAGACAGGGTTTCTCTGTAGCTTTGGAGCCTGTCCTGGAACTCGCTTTGTAGACCAGGCTGGCCTCAAACTCACTGAGATCCGCCTGCCTCTGCCTTCCAAGTGCCACCACCACCCGGCAAAGCTTGGTTCTTGCCTGTCTCTCAAAGGATTACCTCTCAGGGTGGCCCTGTTAGGAGACAGTGGAGCCTTTAGAGGGAAAGGCCTTTTGGAGGGCCCTTAGATGACTGGAGGCTTGCTCTCTCTTCCTGACTCTTTCTAGTGATAGTGCGCAGTTTTGTTCTTGTTGTGAAGGTACTGCCTCACCACAGGTCCAAAACATAAGGGGTCACTTGACCTTGAACCGAGACCCTCTAGAACCATGAGTTAGAGCAAATCTTTTCTGAGTTGGTTGTTTGGGTATTTCCTTGTGGTATGGAAAACTGACTAGTGTAGGTAGAGGTATTATCAGCCCGTTCTGTGGTACTTTAACAAAATACCAGAAGCTAAGTATTATATAAAGAAAAGATTAGCTAACTTACCTTTCTGAAAGCTTAAAGCCCAAGGTTGGACAGCTCTGTTTGGTCTCTGGTGAGGGTCATTGCACGGCAGATACACATGGTGAGAGCACTTGACAAGATAGGATGCTGAGATTCAAGGACCAGGTTTTCTCCTTTATAACAGAAAATTACTAGGATCCTATAAATCCTTCTTAAATACAGTGTCTCTGTGACCTAATGACTTCTCCCTAGGCTCTGCTTCTCAAAGGTGCTACCACTTCCCAACATCTCTTAGCACCTAGCTTATAAGCTCTTGGAGACACACTCAGACCATATCCGAACAATAGCAAAGGGTTTGGGGTAAGTAAGCCAAAGGCAGCTTCAAGTCCTGAGCCCTTGCCTCTACTCAGCCTAATTCAAGAAGTGGCACTCTCAGATACATTCTGTTGTGACCCACACCTACCCTGACATGTCCCCCATCAACTTACCGCTATTCTTTGGCATTGAGTTGGATCTTTTCAACCACTATCCAGATGTGCATTGTAGGGGTCTGTATCCTTGTGTTCTTTGACACAGAGCTGAGTTTTCAAGTTCAGGTGCTGTGCACTGGGTCAAGTGGGGCTGCAGAACCTAACACCAAGGTCCAGGATAGGGGTAGTACATTTGGACATGATGTATTCACCATGGTATTCAGTTTCCCTGGATTAGGATTAGCAAGGTGAGGACCTAAGTATAGCAGATGAGATGCTGTGCTCAGCCCTTTCTAGAGAAACTGTCAAGACTCGGAGTGTCTGGGGTTGGAGAGATGGCTCAGTGGTTAAGAGCACTGGCTATTTTTCCAGAAATCCTGAGTTCAATTCCCAGCAACCACATGGTGGCTCACAACCATCTATAATAGGATCTGATGCCCTCTTCTGGCCTGCAGGCAACATGTAGACAGAGTACTCATAACCCCTCCCCCCAAAAAAAAAGTGTGTCCAGTGAGGTACAAGCAGAGAAGAAGCAAGAAGTGGGGTCTCTCCTCGTGGAGGCAGGAGTAAGGAGATGATGAAAGCTGGCATGCACAATGTTGGGGAGGAGGCATGTGATATACGACTGGATGGTAGCTGTCCCAGGGGAAAGATGGCTGAGGGAGGAAATTACTTACCCTGGGGGGTGGGTGCTTCAGGTAGGAGACATTATAATAGGATGGTGGCAGCTATCCCAGTGGAAGGAGGACTAAGGAGGTGTCACTGTCCAACAACTAAGGTAACCTAAGGAGGTTTTCACGACTTCATTGGATTGGTGACTTCTGTACCTCGTGAAGTTATAGGTTTACTGTAAGATAGGTACCCATGCAGTGGGTCTTGTTTGGCAGGAGTTCTGCTAACCACCTAGTGTTAGCAGATGGTCTAGGCTTGTATACAAACTGCAGTGGTTCACTGTCCAGATATCATTGTCTTTAGGGTTAGCCATAGGTGTGCTTCCTGTTCCCACCCCTGATCTGAGCTGTTCCCCAGCTGGTGCAGGCCAGCCTCCATTAGTATAGACATTGGCTTCAGGATGTCTTCGTAACCATATTCTTAACAACAGGGGTTTGAGTTACTGGGGTCCTATCCTTTGCAAGGGACACAGAAAGTGGCAACCACTAGGATTCTTGTGGGGGAGCATGACAAGCTGTGTTATTTTATGTCTTCTGGGGACTTCCTTAAGTGTTTTGAGTGTACTTGGAGGGAAATGCTATTCTCATTTCTAGTGGATGGGCGTGCCTCCCAGTTGGCTGGTCTGTGCAGGAAGCTCACGTGTACTGAGGTTTAGTGGGGGAGATGGCTTCCAAGTAGGTGGGAACTCAGTGGTTTTCTTGCCCACAGCTTGGTGGGAGGGTTGGCACCTTGCCCGTACCTTCATGTGCTGCAGTGCTCAGCCAGCTTCTATTCTATCTTACCACTGGGAGGTGGAAATTGGAGGCATTGTAGGTGGAAACCTTTACTAAGGCCCCAGGCCCCAGCTTCTTCTGCAGGTGTGCTGTGTGCATGTGGCCACACAGGGGCAGTCTTGAAGCATGGCGAGCTTCTGCTGCTGGAGTTAAACTTTACCCGGGAAGCTCCCCAGAGACTATTGTAGTGAATGCTTCCTGCAGACCACAGAGGCTGCTAGTATCAAGGGCCTGGGCCTGGAGAGCAGCAAGAGTGGCATGTTGTCTCAGGACAGCACAACTTGATTGCTGTTTCTCTTTGTAGCATTCTTAAAGCCATGTGAGCTTAGAATACTTCCAGATTTTTAGGGTCGTTATCTCCTGTTTGATGCCACGTGTTAACAGGTGTCTCAGACTCTGAGTTTCAGATCATGAGGTATTTGTGAATAGTAATGAAATCATGGAGCATAAGTCTGCACATGAAACTCACTGCTGCTTCATGTCTGCCTTATTCACAGAGGCCAGAGGTGATTTTATACATTTTCTTCAATGATTTTGCGCATAGATAGTTTCAAAGTGTCCTGGACTTTGTAACTTATGAACTCTGGGTTTTAACATTTTTGTGTCCTATGTTGCCCCCAACCCCAAATGTGCGCTGTCATCAACTCCTAATATTAGTGTGCCTCCTTGTCACATCCAGGTACCTGATCTCTTACCTCTACCTGGCTGGCTCTGATGGACCTTGAAAAGCCTATAGAAGGACCCCCTGCTACAGTACATGATCAACTTGTTCCAGGCTGTCTTTTAAGTCAGAGATGGGAAGTTCTGGAGGGTCCTAGGATGTAGGCACCTGTCTTAGTCGGGGTTTCTATTGCTACGATGAAACACCATGCGCAAAAGCAAGTTGCGGGAGGAGAGGGCTTAATTTGCTTACATTTCCATGTAACAGTTCATTGTCAGGGCAGGAACCTACAGGCAGGAGCTGATGCAGAGGCTATGGAGGAGTGCTGTTTACTGGCTCTTCCTATGGTTTGCTTAGATACTTTTCTTATATGACCTAGGAACACAAGCCCAGGGGTGGCCCTACCCACAATGGCTGGGCCCTCCCCCATCAGTCATTAAGAAAATGCCCTATAGCTGCCTACAGATTGACATTATGGAGGCATTTACTCAGTTGAGGTTTCCTCCTCTCTGATGACTCTAACTTTTGGCAAGTTGATATACAAACTAGCCAGGACAGTGCCCCAGGATGAGTTCCTTAAGTGCACAGGCCCTGTGCTGTGTTTGGTTGGGTTCTCACAAGGGGTCCCTGATGATACAGGTACTGCCTTTTGCCTGATGGTGATCTCTGGACCCAAGGGAAGGGTTTGTGGGGATACAAAAATGGGTGGCAGTGTGACTGATAGTGCTTCTGAGATCCAAAGACAGGGTCCTCAGGGTTGCACAGTGCTGATCTGGGTTGGCCAGGAGGCTGGTTAGGGAGAATGGCTTGGCCCTCATGCGCCTGTGGTCTCCATGCTTCAATGTAACTATGTGTCTCAGAGTCACTGTGGAAGTGTAGGTGTCTGTGGAAACAATATGATCTCCTTGTGTTTCCCTTTCTTCACTCTGTCCTGCCTTGTGGATGAATGTGCATTTTGTTTTCTGACCTTTGTACCAGCTTCTCAGGCCTCATACAGCCTGCAGCCCCTGCCAGAGGAGCTGCTTTCCAAGTACAGACAAGGAATGCAACCCAGGAAGGGGCTCTGCCTAGGTCAGGCTTGGTACCTTTATTCTGAGCTGTGTACCAGAGGGCTGTCTGTGGGGGCCAGTGTCTGTCCCCTTTGCCAGCTGACTTCCCCTAAGAACATCTTAGGCCTCTTTGCCATGCAGTCTTCCTCACTGCAGGAGCTGTTTTTGCTGCTTTTATTAAACCGATCATTAGTGACTAAAGAGATAGAAACTATCCTGCGCAGAGCCTCAGTAATTCTTCTCAGATGTTTCAAAACATGGATCAACAAGTCAGCAACCAGCCCTGGAGGTGGCAGGGTTCTGTGCCTTAGATGGGTCCCAGCTGATCCCACAGCTCATGGAAAACATCCCAGACTCCATGTGCCTATGGGTCATTAATAACATCCATTAGGAGAATCTTGCTTCAGTTTTCTGTTTGTTGAAGTCCTGGTTATTCAAGCTATTGAAACCCAGTCAGTCAGGATCAGCCCTGAGGTTTCAGTCACTGGGGAAGCTTCAGTCAATCTGGATGTCTCCTGTAGCTTCAGTCAGCCAGAATCTCCTGTAGCTTCAGTCAGTCAGAATCTCCTGTAGCTTCAGTCAGTCAAAGTCTCCTGTAGCTCAGTCAGTCAGGGTCTCCTGTAGCTTCAGTCAAAGTCTCCTATAGCCTGAAGTGTGGTACCCATAGTCAGTAGCTCTGGAGTTCTGCTTCCTGAGTCCATGCTGCAGCTAAGGCTCCCAAGAGGCTCTGGGGAAAGGCCTCAGCAGTGCAGGAGCATTGAGGCTGTACTGTGTGATTATCACAGTGTACACAGCTAATTACAGACCAGGTGGAGAGGATCACCGTGTCCCCATACTTGAGCCAGTCGGCACAATGCAGGGGGATCCCAAGTTCAGGCAGTGGGGTTCTTTGGTATCCTTTGGTATCCTGGATTGGTATCTTTTGCCCTCTCACCCACTGCGAAGAACCCTCCTTGTACTGGGCTCTCACCCCGAGCCTACCTACCATTATCTCCTGAGGCTGGTTGCTCACATGACTTTTCTGCACTTTCCAGCTTCCAACCCAGCTATCTGTGTAAACTTGCTGTAAAACAGTGCTATACCAGCCAAGAACTCCCCTGGAGAGAGGAGCTCAGCAGTGAGCCCTGGGAGGCTCATAGCTACTGCCACCACATTAGCACCTGGAAAATACAAGTTTGTAATCAGTTTGGCTTGTTGCAACCTGTTTTTTTGTTTGTGTGTTCAGTTGGTTGGTTTTTTTGTTTTGTTTTGCTTTGTTTTGGGAATGTAGTAAGAAAACCACTGTCCTGATGATGGGCCCTAACTCTCCCTAACTCCCACTATTTGGTAGATTGGATTTACGCACTACAGTGCGCCGTGTGTGAGAGCTGAAGGGTGTTCACCTCTGTTCATCTACAATCCTGTGGCCCTGTCCTCACCCTGATTGCCTTTCTCCTGAGGGTGTGGCCAGTTCTTGGCTACTCCTGCCTCTCTCGGGAGGCTTGCCTTTCAGACAGTTGGAAGCGATACAGAGTGAAGGGAACTCCACTGTGCTGGAAGTCCCTGGTCTCTTTCCTGGGGAAGACAGTCATGTCTCAGTGACTGATTTTTTTGGTTCCTGCCCTCAGCCCAGTGATCACTCCCCTAGCTGTGCCTCCTTTCCTCTCTTTTTCTGGTGTGTAGCAGTGAGCTCCAGGCTGCTCTACTTTGTCTAGCTAAGAGATGTGTAAAAGCCACCGGAGGGGCTGCTTGTCAGGCTCCATGCTCTTCCTGTTTCATCCCAGCCTAGTGAATGCACTTGACCGCTGCTCTGCATCCACGGTGCCCCTGTTATAGGAAGAGCAAAGATCAGGCTTCAAGTCGCAGACCTTATCTGGGCTAGGAAGTTCTGGGTTTGTGGCTGGGGGGGGTC